CACTAAAAGACGACTCTGGTGGTGCTGCGTGACTCAAGTTGATCAAGTGCTCAATAATTCATTTAGTAACTGTCTTGCATTGTCCTTTTGCTAGCCATGTCGGATAATGTTCAGGGATGTGTTTGGAAAGTGTGCAATTTGTGCGGCCATTATAACTTTTGACAGTTTGAAATAATTTGGGCATTGGGTATATGATATTCATTATGATAAAGGTTTCCATGTATTTCCCAATGAATGAATGAAAAACAAAACAATTTTGTTTTTCACTGACGTTCCGCTATTTAATGCTGCTGCTAATAGCTTCATCAGAGTATTAGTATTAAACCAGAATTTACAAAATCTCAGCTTGTATTATGCAACAACTTAATCATCATTCCTCAGTATGGGATCATTTTTCCGTTGTCAAATTGGCCAATTGGTGTAAAGATAACAAAAGCAGGCGTAGGTGACTGTTGGACTTGATAAGTGTGTAAAATTGTAAAATCGGCATGTGTTCAGATAATGAAATTGCTTATCACATTCGTGTTGATTTTGTCACTTCTTGGGAGGAGGGGGATGTTGTAACCAGGTAAAATTCTCTTTCAGTCCATCATTCCTATTCGGGCAATTTGGATTCCACTTGATATGAAGTGCTTCTGATGATATGAGACGTTCTCTGTGATTTCTGAAATGTTTCTGGATGATGATTTCAATATTGTCAAAATGCATTTTGTGGCCTGATTCTACAGCGTAGCGTGTAGACCAACTATGACTGATGATTTTTCAAGCTTTTCTGGTTCAACTGGATTTCTTAGTTGTCGAATAGATGCGCTACGGTGTTCATGTTTTCTTATTTGGGTTTCTCGAGAGGGGGTTGTCCGATGTATATCGCACCACAATCCAAGCATTTTATTTTATAGACACAATTAAATAGAGAATCTTTAGACATTTGGTCTTTGATATTGACAAGGTTGCTTTGCAGTGTGTCCCCGATATTTTGAAGAAAACTGTGATGTCGAGCTTATTGTGTTGTGTCAACAATTTTTTTCTTGGGGAGGGGGGTCATTAACAATTTATAGATGGAGAAGCTGAATTACATGATCAAACGTTTTCGAATTTCGGAATAAACTCATTAACTGCATGGAAGATTTCATCATGAGCTGACATCAGTTAGAGAACCACTGAAAAACCTGGGAGTACTGGATAGCCAGCTGTTTTGTCCTAGTTTTGGACTCTTCAACAGTACTCACACACCAGGTTTCAAACCCAGGACCTTCTGGTTACAAGGCGACCCTAAACTAGGACGAAACAGATGTCTAGCACTCCCAGGTTTTCCAGTGGTTCTCTAACTGATGTCAGCTCATGATGAAATCCCCCACGCAATCAATCAGACAAAATCCCTACAGAAACCAATACTTGAAAACTCATTAACGTTTTTCGGAATATTCTTCTTCCTCCTCTTCCTCATATGCACACACTTTCCTACTTTAAAGCTACTTTCGCGACTGCTGCCGTCCTTGGATGTGGTAGCCATTTCTCAGGCTCCCTCTCCGGAATCGAACCCTGATTTCCCGTTACCCGTTACTATCATGGTAGGCAGATCACCTACCAACAAATTGATAGGGCAGACATTTGAAAGATCCGTCGCCGACACAAGGCCGACTGCGATCATTAAAGTTATCCAGAGTCATCACAGAATTCAACAGAGACAGCCGAAACTGCCCCCGGTGGGTTCTGTTCTAATAAATGCACCCGTTCCCTTGCGGGTCAGGGCATAATTGCATGTATTAGCTATAGAATTACTACAGTTATCCATGTAGCATATATGATCTAAGGAACCATAGCTGATTTAATGAGCCATTCGCGGTTTCACCGTTTTAAGGTATGTACTTAGACATGCATGACTTAATCTCTAAGACAAGTATATGACTACTGGCAGGATCAACCAGTTTATTCACACAGTGATACACCCATTGACTGGGTATTGGTTTTCAGGTAACCAAACACACACATCCCTGCCTCTTGCGAGACAAGAACGGCATGCATGATCATCCTGTGGCGCAACCACTCGAGTACCCTCTTCCTCGGTGGACCATTCGCACCTTTAGTATATACTAATGATAGGTAAGCATTGTTACGCCGATCGTTGATCGCGTCAATCAATTATGCACTGCATAGACAAGCTCTATAGAATTCATCTCGCATACAAGACCAGCCAAACGTATTATTATATGCAAAAGTAGCATGCATTGCAACGCTATATTGACAATAGACCCCTATAAACGAAGCCTGCAGCCACCAAATTCAATGAAATTATTATACTCATTTATACTTTGATTTCTATATGCTGCTTTGACATTTCGCCACTCAGAATGATGTAATCTCCCCCCCCCCCAACCGCCACCTTTGTTCTAAGATAATCTCATTTGTCGTGTAAAATGCTGAGCATAAACAGAAAGTCATCGCCTAGTAAATGTCTTACATTCTAGTGGAATTAAATCAACAGGATCAGAAGAGGAAGACAGACCTTGATTAGATCATGGAAAATTAGAAAGAAGAGAACACGAAGTTCAGTTCTACAGATCCTTAATTTAATCTGAAATCAGTTTGGAAATTTTCTGCACTCAGTATAAGGAACCACATACGGATATTCAAAACACTCATATCAAGTCAGTTCTTCTATTGTAGTCCATAAACTTAGCGCGCACACACACATACGCACACATTGAAAGTATTTCGAGTAGACTGTAGACTTTCATCAACAACTAACTGTCTTCGCTTCATACACTAAACATCTACAACGAACTTTTGAAACGAACGAACGAACGAACGGACTGACCAAAGACCCAACGCCCAACAAATATGACGAAGAAAATGCAGCGATGCATATGGCACATACTGAGAAGGTAGCTGAGTGACATTACGCAATAGGCATTTGAGTGAATGCAAAACGACGAGTTAAGTTAGGTGCCAAAGGATGGATGACATGCAGAGGATCGTGTGAAGCGGCGAAAGCTTATAACCCAGTTTACAAAGGACTTCAGAGAAAAGGTTGACATGCAGATATTATCGAAGCTCTATGTTTCACTCGAATTGATTAGCAGTAATACGAATGCTACAACTAGTGGTAATAACACACAATTCTCCAGTTTAACGAGGCGGTAACTATTGTCAGGGCTAGTATATATATATATATATTCTACCAAAGAAGGACTACTTAGGACTCTGCAAGAACTGGTGAGGAATCATGCTCCTGTCGACGCCAAGTAAAATCCTGAGTCGCATCATCCTGGAGAGAATAAAGGACGCACTGGATACAGAACTCCGCCAACCAGAACAAGCTGGATTCAGGAAAGGCAAATCATGTTCTGACCAAATTGCAACTCTACGCATTATCATCGAACAAAGCATGGGATGGAAATCAAACCTATACCTCAACTTTATAGACTTTGAGAAGGCTTTCGACAGCGTTGATCGCGAAGTAATTTGGAAACTACTCAAGTACTACGGCGTACCCCAAATATTCATCAACCTTATTCAACAGGTGTACGACAACGGCACATGTCAAGTGATCAACAACGGAAAACTCAGAGAGGCGTTTGGAGTAAACACAGGAGTCAGACAAGGGTGCTTATTATCACCAACGATGATATTCCTAATTGTGGTGGACTGGGAAACGAGAAGACAGGGATATCCTGGACCGACCTGAAGAACCTAGAAGACCTGGATTTCGCGGATGATTTGTGTTTGATTTCACAAAAAATCGAAGAATTACAAGCGAAAACCGACAAACTCGTCGAAGAGGCTGGCAGTAAAGACAGGACTCGATGTGAGCATAGACAAGACGGAGGTTATGAAAATAGCCAACCAACAACAACAACAGCAACAGCAGCAACATCCAGTGCCAATCACCATCAACGGGAGGGATTTGAAAGAGGTTACTTCATTCACTTATCTAGGGAGCATTGTCTCAACCACAGGAGGAACGGACGAGGATGTCAAATCGAGCGAGAATCGGGAAGGCGAGAAACACATTCATCAACCTGAAACCAATCTGGAAATCTTCCGCTGTCACTCAGCCTGCGTCAACAACAAAATTCGGATTTTCAATACAAACATCAAGTCAGTCAGTTCTTCTATACGGATGGATCAGAAACTTGGCGGCGGGTCACAAAGAATATTTCCAACAGCCTGTTGCAGACCTTTATCAACAACTGTCTTCGCTGGCTCTATACTGAAGATCAGATGGCCGGAAAGAATCACAAACAAGAAGCTGTGGAAAGAAACAAAACAAGAACCAATCACCCAACAAATATGCAGGAGAAAGTGGAGATGGATTGGACACTCGCTGAGGAGGCCGCTGGATGACATCGCGCGTCAGGCCATAGCTCGAGTGGAACCCGAAAGGGAAGCGGCGAGTGGGACGTCCAAGGGAGATCGTGTGAAGAAGAGTTGAAACAGTATGGACTAACACGGGTGCAGGTGAAAAGTACAGCAGAAGACAGAAACAAGTGGAGGCGTGCAGTTGAAGCCCTATGTTCCACTAGGAACCCAAGGGAGCAATAATAATATATATATATATCAAAGTATCCACTACAGTCCTACAGGAGGTCAATCGCGAGCCAGACCAAATAGCTAGCTCAGTGGTAACGTCTCTCAATGCAGTACTGCACTGGGTGACACGGGTTCGAATCTCAGAAGCGACATGACTTGTTCCTTCAAGGTGACTGCAGATACGCCTTGCTGACGACTGGTGAGTGCCAACTAACACGAAACCTAGGTCAAGTAAGGCTTCCTGTGACCGATTGCCTCCAACCATCTAACATCATCAAATCAACGTGCACTGTAATGGCGAGCAGCTACCTAGTGGAATGTTGGCCACATTGCAAACCTGACTGACTGATAGAATTCAGTCTGCACCAGAGAAAGAACTAGACACATCACACTAGTTTCTATTGTCCAATCAATATATATATATATAAATATATACCTTGTTCAATTGAATATAAAAAGACCTTACACATAAGAATAAAATTTATTGAAAATTAAAAGAAAAACTAATTATGATAAAAAGGAAGCTTCATTGACAGAAAGTGAGAGTTAACTGATTTAGCAAAAAAGGACAGCGCATTAAAATGATTAGGTAGGACTGAAAGGCTGGAGGTTGGAGGAAGGTAGCGATGACGTAACAGAGCATACATATGCTGTCCACTTCAACCAGAGATGAACACGATTGATTATTTTTCTTCTTCTTTAGGCGATTCTTCTGGACAGTTCACATGATTATACGGACACTGAATAAAAGGGAAGAAGAGAAACAAGAAGGTTAACAAGTAGAGTTACACATAAATGTGCAATGAAGAAAAATAAAAGACAAATTCAGTGAAGAAAATGCTTCTTTATCGATGAAATCATCTTCAGAGAGGCTGTACTGTACAGTAGTATTTATATTGACCAAAAATGTAGAATTTGTGTGTGTGTGTGTGTTTATAAATTCACCTGCTAGTGTGGAGCTGATTTCCCACAAACTGGAAGACATGCAAGTGAAAAGCAACAAGTTGGCAGAAGAAGCATCAAAGATAGGACTTCAGGTGAACATAGATAAAACAGAGGTGATGAAAATTCTTGGGCAACACCACCAAAAGCAACAACAACTGACAACAGTCAGCATAAATGGAAGGAACCTGAAAGAAATTACCTCTTTTACCTACCGACCTGGGAAGCATCGTTTCAACTACAGGCCAACGGAACTGACGAGGATATCAAAGCAAGAATCGGAAAAGCAACACAAGCTTCCACTACTCTCGTCAAGTCTGTGTGGAGGTCAACAGCACTCAGCATCAAAAATAACATCCGGATTTTCAACTCCAATGTGAAGTCAGTGCTACTCACTATACTGATCAGAGACTTGCACTGAGCGTCATAAAGAGCATCTCAAACAAACTACAGACCTTCATCAACAGTTGTCTTCGCTCAATACTCAAAATCAGATGGCCAGCCTGTCAGAAAAGATCAGCAACAGAGATCTCTGGCAATGATCGAACCAACTCAGCAGGAACCGATTGTGAAACAAATAGGCAGGAAGAAATGGAGATGGATTGGCTGGCCATACTCTGAGGAAACAATGCATCAAGTGACATCACTAGACAAGCCATTGTTCGAGTGGAACCCGAAAGGGAAGCGACGAGTTGGTCGTCAGTGCGAGGGTGGGTGACTTGGAGGAGGTCATGTGAAGAGGAGATGAAAACGTGTGGGCAGACTTGGAACCAGGTGAAGACTCTAGCAGAGAACAGAACGCAATGGAGACGCACGGTTGAAGCCCTATGTTCCTGTAGGAATTAAAGGATACAATAATAATAATAATAATAATGAGTGTGGAGCTAGTTATATTGGCCACACAAAGTGCACACTTTCCAAACAGATCTCTGATCATTATCCGACATGGTTGGCAAAAGAACAATGCAAGACAGCTACTAAATCAATTCTTGAGCACTTGGTCAACTTGAGTCACGCAGCTCCACCAGAGTCGTCTTTCAGTATTATCTACAAGGTGAGGTCGAATGGCACAAAAAGGCATTACGTTTCGTCATTTGTATATGGCGAAGGCGTCAGCGATTTGTCAGCACATCGCCGAACTCTGTATACAGAAAAAGGTATGTCCATTCTCTGATTCTACCATGGTCTCAGCCTTTTCATTAGTCGTTCCTTGTAATTTTTTTTATATTTTTAATGATTACTTCGCTTTTACTTCAAAAATTAATTCACTATTCACTATTATCACTCTTATAGGTTCCTTTTGTACATTTTCTCACCTTCTTCACACTTGTTAAATCGACACTCAACTACCACCTTTATTCTCACTCAATAAAAATTTTAATCTAACCAAATTTCTAAGCCTTTCTTCCTTTGTACCGTCGAGTACCACTAAATTTTCAACTATTATTTTTTACTTCTGAAACCACTACCGAGTAATTATATCAATTTTGTTACCACCCCCTTAATTACTCAATAATAGACTACTATACAACGTGCGTCGGTGGTATAGCGGTTAAGACGCTCGCCGTCCATGCACATGGCCCGGGGTTCGATCTCCGGCCACAGACGCACTCCTTTACCTCCCTAAGCCAGAAATAATGCTGGTGAAAAGGAAACATTGGGCATGAGACTAGCAACCCCATCCTGTAAAACAAAAAACACTGCTACAGAAACTTCAAGCCACAAGCTTGGAGTCCTATGTTCCACTGGGAACGTGAAGGAAAAAAAAAGACTACTATACATTTTTGGTAAGTATAAATACGACTGTACAGTACAGCCTCTCTGAAGATGATTTCGATGATGAAGAAGCATTTTCTTCGATGAGTCAAAAGTTGAGGAAAATGAAAAGTTGATGCCTTTGTTAATCGACAAAATTTACTGTTGACATCCTCTAATCAGGGTCACACTGCAGTGATTGAATGAAATGGGAATTAGACTATTAACACCATATTAATTTGTTTACTAGATATATCACAAAACTTGAAACTGAAATGTCGAAGTCGTGTGATTATAATTGATGATATGATTATGAACAGTAGTAAATTTTGTTCGAAACCTTGTGATCTAGTAAAAAGTAATACTGTTTCACATCGAGTGATATATTTAATAAACAAATTAATATGGAATTACATACACTATCACAGTGTTCAAGTTTTAGAACTTTATTGATTAGATGATAAATATTTGCAATTAGGTGTGTTCTCTCAGCTGGTTGGTTTAACTGTGGAGCTTTCGTCGTCCTACTGGACAACATCTTCAACGCATGAATTCTAACTTCTGCCAATTCACGCGACATAGCGCGACCGCTAGCCAATGTCTTCGGCGAGGATTTGTCGTCACACCCGACCTGCTGCACCCTACTGGGTCCTAGTGGCTTAATGGTCTACGAGCTCACCTTGTAACCAGAAGGTCCTGGGTTCGAACCCCGGTGGGTTCATACTGTTTAAGAGTCAAGAACTAGGACGAAACAGCTGACTGTCCAGTATTCCCAAGTTTTCCGATGATTCTGTAACTAATGTCAGCTCATGATGAAATTGTGTAACCAATGAAATGAACTGATTCAGACGCTTCATGAATGATAGAATCGCGTCTCCTGGTAACCATCTTCATGACTGGCAGTCGATTTACATGTGTACTGATCACTTTTTTATTGACTTGTATTCTGAGCTTTCTCATCACATGATTTACCTTTTGTTAGTTAGTAGATTCGGCCTATATTAACATGTTTGTTAATCACATATTCGCTAGAGTACCAGGCTTGTAGAAATTCCCTAACTGCATTTTTGGTGTTTCCTCTGTTTAAAATTTCGACATTAATCCAATCATCAAACTGGTGTCTATAATTATCTACATGCATTGATAAGAACTACTATGGCGCCTTTCCGCACCTGATTTATGTCCTTAGATTCTGACTCGAAGGGCACGCCCACTTTGGCCGATGTAATATCTACTACAGTTCATATAGTTTATTTTGTAAATGGTATTCATTTTATCATCTTTTTCTGTTGGATCCTTCGATTTGCACAATATCAAATGAAATGATTATAGTGACTTGTACGTTGTGCCTATTTCAAATGGTCTTAGTATTCTAGACATCATTTCAGAGATATTCTTTATACATGGTTCAGTGAGTTTTGCTGTCTTCTTTATTGATGATTTCGTGTAGATAAATTAATAAATTAATTCAGAGAATTCCACGTTTATAATTACGGAGTCGATTCAACTGAAGAGGCTTCATACATTTAATCCCCTTCATGAGTTTGAATACAGGAAAAAAAACAGTGATGTGTGCAGAATAAAATGGTACCATCATTTTTTATTTCGATGACTTCCTTTTCATCAGCTCAGCTACGCTCAGCCCAAAGGTATTAATAATTTTATGTACAGCAACAGTTTTTCTATCCAAATCCTTAAGGCTAAGGCAATACAAAGTATACGGAAGCTTGTCGATTTTGGAAGGCTTCTTTTGACCTTATAGATGACTTTGAACGACTTCTCCTTGCAAATCGAATGACCAGTGTTGAGTATATGCTCAATAATGGCGCTTCTTATTGCTCCGTTGTTACCTTTCCGTAGCCAGGCGGGATAGTGTTCTTGAACTCTTTTAGATAAAACTCGCATCGAACGACCTATATACCTCTGGCTAAAATCTCGTCATTGTCCCAATCAAATTGATGTCCATAATTGTCTAAATGCATTGATATGAAAGAACTACTATGGCGCCTTTCCGCACGTGATTTGTGTCCTTAGATTCTGACTCGAAGGGCACGCCCACTTTGGCCAATGTGATGTCTACTACAGTTCAGTCTTTCTTTGCCCTGGTAACTGGATATTTTTCATTCTAATGCGAGATACTGAAAAGTTTTCATTTTGTATGGTTATTACTGCTCGGAATTGTGTTCAATATTGCATATATATATATTATTAGTGTATGTGTATATTGATCGACTGATTTCTGTTTAAAATGAACTCTGTGCAAGATACATTCAGATACACTTAATAATGTTTTTGCCCTATAAGCAGCTGAAGAGAAGGCGACGAAATAAAATATGGTACCATTTTATTCTGCTAAATCTGTAGTTGTTGCTTTGTTCAAATTCATTAAGGGGAACAAATGTATGAAATAATCACTAATGCTACAGAAACTTCAAGCCTCTAGTTTGGAGCCCTGGGAACGTAAAGGAATAAAAAAACAAAAACACCCCCCGCCCACACACATATACACTACACTGTACCTCAAATTTAGTCAGAAACGGTAAGGTATGAATATTAATGGAATTTGGTGTAACTCTATATCCATATGATGTTGATACAAATTAATTGAAGAATTGTAAACTATAAGAATAAAATACGTTGTATTCAGAGATCGATCTAATGAATGAACATTACCAGTTAATATGTGAGTAGGTGTTCCAACTACTCATGTCAATTTGCAGTACACAATGTGTGAACAGCGCGTCAGTGGTTGAGTAATAATAATAATAATATAATAATAATTTGCTTTATTCCAAAAGCAGTACTTGTGATACAGAATGGAATTCTCAGCATTTTTACTACAGTATTGCATCCAGTTAGTACATTATCAATAAATAGAATTCTACATAGATTAAGGAAATCTCAGTTCATTATGACAACAACATATTGGGATGTCGGTAGCAAAGCCAAAGTTGAACAGTGTTTGAAGGTGTTAGAAAAGTGGGAGCTGTCATATTTACTGGCGTAAGCGGAAGAAAGAAACAAAGCAGCACATAATGGAGAAAAAGATAGAGAGAGAAAAGGAAAAGAAAGAAAGAAAATGTTGTACCTATAAATGATATGAGTTGGAAAGACAAGGTCCAGTTGTACTACTGACTATTCAATGAACTATAGATGGCACGCCTAATGCTTTCTTTATCACACAGAACACGAGCTAAGTAGGGTATGGTTGAGTTTTTGTACTTGCTGGTGCGAGCATATAGTTTTCTATATAGGCTTCTGGTTTTACCTGATGAGATGCAAGGGGAGATTTGTGAGTGAAGAGGGTGGAGTGAGTTAGATAAAATGGATTTGGCCCATTTTTCACATGAGTCCATGTGCCTGTCAACCAGAATATTAACAAGCTGGTTAAGTGGCACATTGCCTACCCTGTTGACAACCTTAAACACCCTGCGTTATATGTTATAGTCTTTCTTCAGTAGCCCTGGAAAAACTTAGGGGGAACAATAGAGAATAATAGGCAGGATGCAAGAGTTAACGAATTGTAGGAGTAAGGATTGGGTTTCACCAGAATTTAACTTCTTGATGAAGAAGGTAAGACAGAATATTTTCTTAGAATTTGCTAAGATATGAGACTACCAGGAAAGATCAGCAGATAGAATAATGCTTAGGTATTTAATTTCCGACTTGGTTTCTATTTCAGTGGAATCAATGTTGCACATCTCGTGAGAGCCAACCAGTTTGTTTAGGTCAGATTTATGCCTAAAGGTAAAATTGACTGTTTGGCATTTGGAGGGGTTTAAGGTAAGACCGTTTTCCTTGGACCACTCACTGTCTGATTTCTGACAGAAAGCCATTAGGTTAAAGCAGTCACTTTTACATTTGACAGGCAAAGATACTGTCAGGTCGTCAGCATATTTGACAAAATTAATGTCATTTGAAGATGGTAAGTCATGTAGAAAGAAAGAAAAGAGAAGTGGGGAGAGTACAGCACCTTGGGGGACACCAGCTTCAGTGAGTACAGCAGAGGATGATTTACCTTTGTATACGGTGTACTGCATTCTGTTAGAGAAGTAGGAATGCAACCAGTTAGTGACCCAGGACTCAGTTTTTGTCATAGAGAGCTTATTTAGCAAGAGACATCTAGGTAGAGAGTCGAAAGCAGAAGTGAAGTCGAGAAATGTGCAGCAGACGTATTTGGCACCTTTATCTAATGATGAGATGATACTGTTGTGTAAGACGGCTGCAGCGTCTAAAGTGCTCCTACCCTGTCTATAGGCAAATTGTTCGGGGTCTTCAAAGCTTTTAAGGGAGGGTTCAAGTTTAAGAAATACTAGTTTTTCCATAAGCTTTAGAAACGGGGAAGTGATGGCAATGGGTCTGAACTTTACGTTCTTGCTATTTCCAGGTTTAGGGACAGGGACTATTTTAATGTATTTCCATGCAACAGGTACGACATTTTTGGAGAAAGAAGCATTTAGGATGTTAGTTAGTGGAGAACATAAAACATCTGCACATTGTTTTAGAACATATGCAGGTATACCATCAGGACCAAGGCTACGTGAGGGCTTGAGCGTTTTAAGACATTTTAGAACATCGAGAGCATTAAAGTCATGAAAGTTATCAGCTACATGATTGGCAACATTAGAAGTAGTTATAGTAGAAGGACAGTGTATAAAAGACTGATTAAGAGCATTAACATCATAAGAGGGAAAAGCATTACAACGCTTACTATTGCCAGTAATTTCATTAAAACGTTTCCACATGCTGATTGGAGATTTGCATGATAAAAGTGTATCGTTGTAGATAGCAGCATTAATAATAGCTTTATTCCAAACAGTACTTTAGGTACAAATATGGAATTTTCAGTAAATAGTACAGTAGAGTACAGTATCTAATTATCTCATTTCTTTTCTTTATTTCTACACGTTCCCAGTGAAAAACAGGGGGTCTTCAGGCTAGAGGCTTGAAGTTTCTGTAGCGGTGGTGTTTATTTTTACAGGATGGTGTTGCTAGCCAGCCTCATGCGCAACCTTCCCTCTTTACCAGTCTTATTACTGGCTCAGCGAGGTAAAAGAGTGCATCCGTGGCCGAGGATCGAACCCTTGACCACCTGCGTGGTTGGCGAGCGAGTCCTAACCGTTGTACCACCTACGCATAATTATCTCAATACAACGGTAATAATTAAAACAGGGAGTTTACATTGATAACACTGTTTAATGTGAGTAATGAATATAAAATTATATCAAGTTGAAATATGAATAAAACAATACAATGGTGAAAAAAGGAGAGAGAAAAAAGGCGACCGTTTACTCAGAGTTCTGCAGTAAGCTGATTACGTCCTGCCTTACACTTTTCTCATTACATAGCATATGTGTCAAATAAGGTATTTAGCCTTTTGATGTAGTTCTATTTCTCTGAACTAGCTGGATGGTTTATTTACAATGAAGATGGTGACTAGTAGGACAATGAAAGCTTCGCAACTATAAACCATCTAGAGAGCTTAGAGAAACACAACTACATCAAAATCATCTCCATCATGTCTAAAGTACTTAGTCATCCAACAACCATATAGCCTTCTATAGTTGCTTCTAGTCCTATTTGATAAGAAGCATGGATGATAGAGTTGTGTATACAGAGGACGGTCAGAGTTTGAAAAGAGATAATATCCACTAATTTCTCACATGGCTCCATGTGTCTATCTACAGCAGTATTAACGCCGTGTTATAGCGGCAACACGCTTACCATAGTGACAGTTTTTAGTGTCCTTCACAATGTATTAAACTGTTTCCTAAGTACCTAAGCGAAGATTAATCAGAAGCAATAAAGAAGGATAGGTAGAATGTTCACTAGCCATGTAAGTGTGATCCAACTTCGACTCCTGACCGACGCACCCCTACACCTCTCACTTAACTTGTGTAGTTAGTTGGCCAGCCCAGTAGAGAGACCGACAGAAGGTTGAGGGTGAAGTTAACAACCTCATTGAGTAAAAGCAACCCCACTACATATATTGAAATTTCAAATCTTCAAGCTTTACATATATATATTTTTTATTTCACGTTCCCCGGTGGACCATAGGGTTTCAAACTAGTGGCTTGAAATTTCTGTAGCAGTGTTTATTTTATAGGATGGGGTTGCTAGCCTCATGCCCAACCTTTCCTCTTCACCAGCATTATTTCTGGCTAAGCGAGGTAAAGGAGTGCATCGGCCGGGGATCAAAACCCGGACCATATGTATAGTCGGCGAGCGTCCTAAACGCTATGCCACCGAGGCACTCAAGCTTTATACTCCAATCAAAAGGAGACAAGGAATGTAAACAAAATTACAAAGTGAAATCTGTTTTAAAAACATTTTACATCCATCATGTGAAACATCAATTATCTATTTATTAAACACAAGATAATAGAGCAAAGAATATCCTTTTCGATAATTTCCTCCTCTTCTGGCTTTACAATTACACATATGTTGTTATACATAGAATATTCTACATTAGTAGTCAATAACAATATTAGTGTTTTTCAAATAATCTCGATTTGTAAAGTAAGATCACAATGGAATTACAGTTCATTAAAGAGGCTTAAATAATAATAATAATAATAAAGATATAATAGCAAATAGAATATCAACTAAAATTAAGGAAATTTCTACAAAACGTTGAGGATCATCCAAACCTAGATGGCCAAGGTAAGGACAATGTCTGAACTAGCTTCCCTCGGACGCATAAATTAGACTTCTCATTGTGGATCCCAACAGCCTCAGCAATATGTAGTAGACGAACTCTTAAGGTGAAGTGGTATGCGGTAAATGACTCTGAAAGCATGGTTAACGTCAATCTTGTGTTCTGTATCCACGAGATAAGATGCAATAGCGCTATGAATAAATTTTCTTTGTCCTTTACTCAACCACTGTGCAAGATGATGTTCGGAAATCTGACGAGGAACACGCCTAATTGTACGGCCCTTAAAATACAAACGTAATCTGCTGAAGTGCTTGGTTCACAGAGCAAGAGCAATCTGCTCGGATGAATGTGTTGATGAAGAACTTAATAATATTAAATGGTTGCTGAATGAAAACGGTTATCCAGAAAAGTTTATTGATAAGAATATGAATCAAAAATCAAGGCAGGTCAAAGTACCAATAGTTCCGAAAAAGGCCTTGTTCTCATAGCTTTAGTTCCTTGGGGATAGCACCAGCGAGATACTGACACAACGCTTTAGAAATGCTGTCAAGAGAGCATTTAGGGCTTCTGAATTACGCTGTGTATACAAAACTATTCGACTTTTGCGTTCGCAAGTAAAAGACAAACTGCATAATTTTACCTCTTTCATGTGTCTCTATTAATTTAACTGTTCCTCTGGAGGCACTTACATAGGTCGTACAATTAAGCGTGTTTCTCGTTGGATTTCCGAACATCAACCTGCATAGTGGTTAAGTAAAGGACAAAGAAAATCCAGTTACATAGCGCTATTCCATCTTATCTTGTGGATACAGAACACAAGATTGACGTTAACCATGCTTTCAGAGTCATTTACCACATACCAACAAATCTCAAGTTCGCCTTGAGAGTTCGATTACTAAATATTGCTGAGGCTGTTGGGATCCACAATGAGAAGTCTAATTTATGTGTCCGAGGGAAGCTGGTTCAGACATTGTCCTTACCTTGGCCATCTAGGTTTGGATGATCCTCAACTTTTTGTAGAAATTTCCTTAATTTTAATTGATATTCTATTTGCTATTACATTTTTATGCTTATTATAATTTAAGCATCTTTAATGAACTCTAATTCCATTGAACTTACTTTACAAATCGGTATTATGTAAAAAGCACACTAATATGGTTATTGACTACTAATGTAGAATATTCTATGTATATAAACATGCATATACAATTGTAAAGCCAGAAGAGGAGGAAATTATCGAAAAGGATATTCTTTGCTCAATTATTTTGTCTTTTTATAGATGTCTGAATGAATATTTTCGTCGTATTGAAATTATCTATTTTGATAAGAAAAAGAATAGCAGGCTGTTTTTAAATCTTACATGTCGACATTTTGAGCCACAACAATAACCACGGTGTAAATGTCCAATTTCAGTGAAAACAGTATAACCTGTTTTAGGATCCACATAATTTTTAAGTCCCAGCTATAAAAGGATAAAGGAAAGAAAAAATTAACAAAAACAAAAATTGAAATCTGTAGAGTAGTTTAATATCAGTTACTACAATCTCATAAAGATGTTCAACACTATTCGTCGTATGAAATTCTGTCTGTATTGACGATGATGAAAATAAAGCGCAATACAGTGTGTAATTGTCATTTAGTCTGGTGACCTTAGATAGTTGGAGGCAATCGGTCACAGGAAGCCTTACTTGACCTAGGTTTCGTGCTAGTTGGCACTCACTAGTCAGCAAGGCGTATCTGCAATCACCTTGAAGGAACAACTCATGTCCCTTCTGAGATTTGAACTCGCGTCACCCAGTGTTGCACCAGAGAAAGGACTAGACACGTCATACTAGTTACTAGTGTCCAATCAAACTACCGACTACAGTCCTACAGCCAGCCCGAATAGCTAGCTCAGTGGTAACGTCTCTCAATGCAGCACTGCACTGGGTGACACGGGTTCGAATCTCAGAAGGGACATGAGTTGTTCTTTCAAGGTGATTGCAGATACGCCTTGCTGACCAGTGAGTGCCAACTAGCACGAAACCTAGGTCAAGTAAGGCTTCCTGTGACCGATTGCCTCCAACCATCTAACATCATCAAATCAATGTGTACCATAATGGCGAGCAACTACCTAGTGGAATGTTGGCCACATTGCAAACCTGACTGACTGATAGAATTCAGTCTGCACCAGAGAGAGGACTAGACACATCACACTAGTTACTAGTGTCCAATCAAACTAGTCTGGTGACGACCGCATTACACAAATAATTGGCACACTTTGATCGTTAAAAAACCAATTTGTACACATAGTCTAGTCTGACAGCTGATCTACACAGCTTGAATCTGAAGTGTACCCACCCTGACACCGATGGAATCATGCACAAATCCTATTATTTCTTCACACTTCTTAATGCATGAAACATGTTACGATTATCCGATTATGCATAACAACGTAAGCCTGAAAGACACTCTCGATGTCTTTGAAAAGGTATATTATCATAACAGTCAAATTTAAAAAGAACTCAATTGCAGTAGTCTACGAAAAGAAAACCAAATACTCAACTGCCCCGAGTGAAAGTTAATTACGATATTGGAGTTAGGCTTTACTCGAGTGCTAGGTAAGAAGGGAAAATCAATCGACGTGACTGTGAAGTTATATCGGATTGAGATGGTTAGGACATGTGTGTTTGGACACACAATTGTTGGACGCCGCCGGTAAGTATGCCTATGTTTGATTGTGAATATCTTGGGATCAGAAATGGAGAACACATGAGTTGAACAACGGCATTCTTAGGCTGATGGGATAAGAAATGTTGCTCGGTAGATCATCAGTGAACTACAATTTGGACATATATTTATTCTAATGTATCTGATGAATAATCTAGAAACACGACATGCCACTTTATTCCCTCTATTTGCATGCAAAAGCAAGATTCCCACAAAACAGTTTACTTCACATATCATTATCACTGTTCAGTATATTTTTGTTACTTAATTCATTTTATATTTTCCTGTCGACTGATTCGACCGAAATGCTCGGTTTCAGGTGCATCCAGCCGACGAGTCCCAAATGGGACGAAATGCGCGTAATCCTGGATTCCACCACTGCTAGTCACCATCCACCACCAATTAGCTTATCAGTACATGCCCAGACATCGCCGAAGCATCTGCACAAGAAGCTGACAGACATGTCAACCTGAGACCGAGCACTTCGGTCAAATCAATCGATGGGAAAATCTAAAAAATTGAATTAAATAATGAATATGACTCGTTGCAGCACAAGACGTGGATAGCTCTCGTGGCCCAAGTGGTCTAGTGACTAACGCTTTGGCGTTTGAAACGATGCAAGCTTGACTGATAGAATTCAGTCTGCACCGAAAATAGGACTAGACACATTACACTAGTTACCGACTAGTGTCCAATCAAAAATTGTATGCATGTATTATTTTTTTTTTGCTAAAATTTCGATAGAGAAAGAAAGACCAGATTTGCAGTAAAAATTAATGATATCATCATTCTATTCCACGGGTTCTCATCAGCTGCAGTCCACAACCTGAAATTGTAATGGTCAGAAATAATAACATGTCATACTTTGATATTTGAAAGATAATAGAGAGAACATTATAGGATGAACGTATCCAGAATAATAAGCATTACAATTTTTAGTTAATGCTTTTTCTGAACACAAAATGTACATAATGTCTTTGGACTGAGCGTAGCAGAGCTGATGAAAAAGGAAAGCCAACGAAATAAACAATGATGGTACCATTTTTATTCTGCACAAATCACTGGTTGTTTTTGTTGCTTTATTCAAATAATTGTTTTTGTTACAGGATTTTCATCATGAGCTGACATTAGTTAGAGAACCACTGGAAAACCTGGGAGTACTGGACAGCTGTTTCGTCCTAGTTTGGGACTCTTCAGCAGTACGCACCCACCGGGATTCGAATCCTGTAACCAATCAAATCCCTACAAACCAACACTTGAATATCAATGAGATGCTCACTAGTGACTTGCCCTATTCAGGTAGGTAGTTGCCTGGGGTTCTAGTGAGAAGTCGTGACCAGTAGGGTGCAGCAGGTCGGGCGTGAGGACAAATACTCGCCGAAGACATTGGCTAGGGGTCGCGCTATGTCGTGAATTGGCAGAAGTTAGAATTCATGGACCATTGGACCGGGTCCCAGTGGCTTAATGGTATACGAGCTCGCCTTGTAACCAGAAGGTCCTGGGTTCGAATCCCGGTGGGTGCGTACTGCTGAAGAATCCCAAACCAGGACGAAACAGCTGTCCAGTACTCCCAGGTTTTCCAATGGTTCTCTAACTAATGTCAGCTCATGATGAAAATCCTGTAACCAATCAAATCCCTACAAACCAACACTTGAATTGTTTTTGTTTTGTTTTTAATAACTGAAACGGTATACTTAAAATGTAGAAATTCAAGCAACTCACTGCTACAGCTTTTTTGTGTTCATCAGTCCAATAAGACAAACAACGTCTTAACGAGGATTTACCGTGTGAATGTAACCGACGCATATCAGGCATAAACACATGCACGTCTAATGTACAGATAGAATACTTTGTCAATCTGTAAACAATTTTAAAAAAATAAATACAGGAAAGTGTAAAATAATTCTTGTACACATATGGGATAAAATTATTTCTTATGAAAAATTGAAATATTTCTCATTAGTATTTCCTCTTAAATCGTGACTGTCATCTGTTGAGAACTATCCTGCGTTGCTGTTAGAATAGCTATCCTATAAAATTCATTTACAAGAGCAGAAAAGGTCAAAAGCAAAATAAAAATGTAATGGTGAAACTAATAATGATAATAACATAAATAAGAAAGAATATACGGCATCTACAGTAGTTTTATCATATTAGGAGAGCATATCTCAGACCTTCCCTACGTAGGATGCTCAATAAAGCAGGAATTAGAGTGGTGGCATTCAAACCTATAAACTCACTCAGGTAGGACAAGCTCTGTAGGATTTGACCCAATTAGACAAAATAATGTAATTTACAAAACACCTTGCAATGACTGTGAGTGTGGTCAACTATATAGGTCAGTGAGACTAGTAGATCGGTAGTAATCAGATTGTCGGGACATAAGAATTTAGCTAAGGTAAGAATGGTTGACCCCGAGAAGATGAGTAATTTAGAAAGAAGCTCAGCGATTACACTGCATACATTAACACACAATCACACAATGGGGTGGGAGAGGGTTAAAATTCTAAAAAGTAATCTATGTAGGTGTAGAGAGAGATTGATTACGGAATCCTGCCTGGTTCATTGAGTCTACACCCAACACATGTAATAGAAGTAACTTAACGCAAATACCAGAGATATGGAAGATATTATTACCACCAGTCAGTTAAATCAGAGGAGGATAATAAATAATGTTAAAGTGTATTCAATTCACATTATAACAAGTTATTTATTTTACTATAAAAACACTCTTATTTCCCATCTTATTGTATTTTATTGATATCACTAATATTATTTCTGAATGTACTTTATGTTATAATGACTTTATTAATATGTCTAATCAATTTTTTATTCATGTATATGAATGAAGCAAGGTAGTTATGTGAGTAGTGCCTTGATATGACTATTAGTAGCGATAACTTGTGTTCGAGAAGTGGTCATGCTGCTGCTGCTGCTGCTGGATTCAACATAGAACTTGGGACTGAAGTGCAGCAGTTCGAGTTACCACGTTCCAAATAGCACACAAAGGTAGACAGGAAAATGAGAGAAGAGAATCAATAGAATTTAGATAAGTATAAGAGTGAGACAGAATGAGTAGTGGTAGAAGGGAATATGAAAGGTTACAGAGACTGAATACATCTGCGTAAGCCATTGACAACGATTTTGAGCCATGTCACCTATTGTCTCCAGCCATTGATTCTTAGAGTCCCGAGGGCGGGCCCCAACCCGGAAGTCTGCATCTCCCTCCCTACCTGACTCAGTTTAACTGTCAGGGATTTCATGGATTGATGAGGCCATGTTTTTGTTTGGCCACCACTTACTCTTTTCCAACCTGCACCTATATCAGCTATTAATGCCCGTCGGGGGAGGCGATGGCTAGGCATGCGCAGCACTTCATCAGTAAATATTACTCACTGTATAACAATACAGCTTCCATTTATCACGTCGATTACTACAAACGTAGTTATGATTCATTGAATTAGACATTCGATTCCTAACCAGTGAAATACAGTTGTGAACATCTTTCGATCATCCACCTAGATTAGAGCGAGTGAGTAGAATTATGGTTTTCCTAAAAAATTATAGGCATAATACACACTGCCTGATGAATAGATAGAGGAGCTAAATATGTTCGGTGTGCCTTCCTTGATTCAATATCTGCATTTGACTCTGTACCTAGGTCTCTCTTGCTACGTAAGCTTGCTGCAACACAAACTGAGTGCTGGACAAATAAGTGGTTGCATTCCCTTTTTTTCTGATAGGAAGCAGTACACCGTCTACAATGGAAAGTCCTCCACTACCTCACTTACTTTAGCTGGTGTTCCTCAAGGTGCTGTTCTTTCTCCTTTTCTGTTTTCTTTTTTCTTACATGACTTGCCCCATTCTGATGTAGCCACTTTTGTCAAGTATGCTGATGACCTCTCTGTCTCCATGCCTGTCAACTCTCAGTTAGACTGTTCCAAATTAAATAACTTTCTCTTGGAAATTAGTCAGTGGTCCTCTTCAAACGGTCTTAGGCTGAATCCGTCTAAATGTCAGGTAGTAAATTTCACTTTCAGACAAAAACGTGACCTACAACAACTAGCCAGCTCACATGGTCCCACTATCATTGACGGCATAGAGGTTGAAATTACATCTAATGTCAAGTCCCTTGAACTGAGTATTTCCTTCGATCTTTCCTGGTCCTCTCACATCTTGCTAGTGACTAGAAAGATGTTTCGCTTAACGTTCTACGTTAGGAAGTTTAGGCAGTCTGGTATAAAGCAGTCTTTGCGTTCTCACTTTGTCAACTCTTGTATTCTAACCATCCCTCTTTACTGCTCCCCATTAATCTTTCCTGGACTACTTAAGAAAGACTTTGCTTCGCTGCATAGGGCACTAAAAGCTGTTAGTAGGGAAGTGGGATTTCGTTAAACCAACTGGTTAACACCATTGTGGATAGACATATAATGTCATGTAAGAAACTAGCGAATTCTATATTGTCAGACCCCGAACACCCTCTCCATACGCAGCTCTCTCCTTGCATTTCATCTGGTAGAACTAGAAGCAACAATAGGAGGCTATATGCCAGGACTACCATGTACAAAAACTCCACAATACCTTATCTGTCACAGCTGTTATGTGATGAGAAATCCGTTAGGTATGACACGATCAACTTACTGCGGCACTCTAACAAATAGTTCCCATTAGCTTTTGTTCTCCTTTCTTTGTTACTATTATATTGTTGCTCACATATTCTATTACACACTAATTTTATATTTCATATCCTGTGGTGCATTGTTTAAATATGTGAATGCAATGCTGTTCTTTTTTATTTCTTTTATTTTTCTTTTTGTTGTTGTTGCTTTTTATTTTTAAAATCTTATAAAATGTATGAGGTAATTAGATGCAATACTGTAATGCACGCTGAAAATTCCATACCTGTACCACAAATACTGTTTGGAATAAAGCTATTATTATTATTATTAAATCTGGAGACAGTCATTGAACTGCCACGATACTATGTAATTGATAGTTGAAAGTAATCGGCAGAAAACCATGAAATAAGGTCCGATGAACATTGGAACTTGTCATTAAGATGTAGTACTTACAACCTCAGGAGAATTGGTATCCCCCCTTGAGGAATTCAGCGAGAAACTGTCCTTGCTACAACACATATGTTTTCTTCCTCTTCGAACCCATGTATTATCGCCATCCATCTAATTTTTTTTTATTCCTTTACGTTCCCAGTGGAACATAGGGGGCTTCAAGTTACAGGCGTGAAGTTTCGGTAGCAGTGGTATTTGTTGTGTTTTTTTACAGGATGGGGTTGCCAGCCAGCCTCATGCCCAACCTTCCCTCTTTACTAGTCTTATTACTGGGTTAGCGAGGTAAAGGAGTGCGTCTGTGGCCGGGAATCGAACCCCGGACCACCTGCATGATTGGCGAGCATTCTACCGATGTGCCGCCGACGCTCCCCACCCCCGCATCGATCTAAACTCAATCCTAAATGCAACTCAATGGCTAGGCTCTTCAGTCTGGTGATCGTTTGTCGTCTCTTTCTTCCTAGTATATCTCTTACAACGAAGTTATAGTGGCCTCTTTGGTTGCCTCTTTGCGATTGCATATTCGCTCTGCGCTGTGTATTGTACAAAGCTCTGAAGAGAAAAACATTTAATCAATTCAGAGGTTGTATAAAATAACTAATTCATTCTTTATATAATGAATGAATATTCTGAATTCATATTGGTGTACAACTGTGAGTTTCCACTGAAACAGTGTGTTCCTCTACTTTTTTGATATGGAACATTTTTAACTCTTTGTCTGAATCTCCCATCTAAACTAACCACACCTGTTTCTTACATTTTCGAATATTGAATTTTTTTTATTAGCATTTTACTTTTATGTGTACACTTGTGATATCCTGCTTGAATATCAGCGTGGCTGGGGGTAATTTTCTTTCAACAAGAAACTGTAAGAATCTGTTGAATTTTTACCAACAGTTTAATTAAATGGTTACAGGATTTCATCATGAGCTGACATTGGTTAGAGAACCTGGGAGTACTGGACAGCTGTTTCGTCCTAGTTTGGGACTCTTCATCAGTACGCACCCACCAGGGTTCGAACCCAGGACCTTCTGGTTACAAAGCGAGCTCGTATACCATTAAGTTTAATTAAACTCCACCAGTTCTGTGATAGCCTCTACTCTAACAGATGAACACACTGAGAATGCCTACCTCTGTGTTGCCTAACGAGTAAAATACACCTCCCATTCTGCAAGATGGTATCATGCGGAGATATTGTTAGCGTGAATCAATACAATGGGAGAATGAACTGTTTTCAAGTCAGTGGTGCAGAATAGAGAAATCAGAGAAATGTACAAACACTGAACACAAGTGAACAAGAGGCAAGTATGCACATATATATATATATATATATATATATATATATATATATATTGATGTGGTTGTGTTTTCTGAGCTGGATAGTTAATTTGCGAAGCTTTCATCGCCCCACTAGGCGACATCTTCAGCGCATACTTCAATTTGTTGAAGTGAGCTTTTAGATTTCTCCACGAGTTTATTAATCATCTCTCCTGGTGGGTGACCTTGGACGTGATTGGTTGTTTTTGTGTGTTTCCACACCTTCTAGTTTACTTGTATTGTAACTCATTGTTTCTTTGACTTGAACTTTGACCCTTTGTGTGTGAGGTTTCTTTCTTATCGGTTGATAAATTTTGTCTATCTCGATGTGTCTATTGATTGATGATTCACTGGAATGCCAAGCTTCTAAAAATTCTCTAACAACAAGAATGCTAGAGAACGTATCCGTTACGTAGACGACACATTTGTAATAATCAAAAGAAACGAGTTAGATAAAGCTCACAACCTGATAAAC